AAAGTTTTTTAGCGTATAAAATTATATAAAAAAGTTTTAGCTCAGACTTGCCTGAATCTATAAATTTCTTTAGCTAGGGGTAGCTATTGATTTATTAAATGAATATGTATTAGATACAATATATTGAGTTTCATTTTCATTATATTTGAATTTGATTTAAATAGAATGTAATATATTTTGTTTTATTTTCTTTATATTTTCGAATGTATATCAAATTTCGCGAGTGCATACTTATACCCGCCCAGAGAGAGTATACAGATGAAAAGCTTTTGAGCATTTTTCATAGCTGGCCACGCGCAAGTGTCTAGTGTCAAAGTAAATTTATTTTTATTATTGCATCAATTAATTATAATGCGTTGCTTTTGCTTTCTTTGGTGAAAATTGGACAGATGTACATTTCGACATCTGCTGCTCTCCCTCTCGTTGACTCTCACTCTCTCTCTCTATCTCTCTCGCTCTCTCTGTCGACCTATTTGCTTGTGCAGATGGGTACTTTGAGCTCTGTGCGTGCCTTGTCATTAGATTCTCAAGCATCGCATTTACAACATAAAGAGTGTGTAATGGTCGAGCAACCTTTGTTCGGCATGGCATCTCATTCTCTAATTAAAGCGATTAAATCGCAGAAAGCCACAATTAAAATTCATGCACATTTGACCCAAGTCAGTGAGAAGGAGAAGCACAAGGGGCAGAAGAAGACGGCAGTGTATAGGGCCGAAAGGGTGAGAGCGCGAAACGCAGACAATAATATATCGCAAATGTTTGCATTCAGCAACTGGAAAAGTCATTATCAGGTATACAATGTAAAAGCTCTTGAGCTTTGCCTGTAAGCATGAACGCACACACATACATACACGCACACCCAGCAACACACTCACACAAATACACGCATCTAAACATACAGTATTTACTCTTCAAGAAAGGAAAATCTGTGGCGCCTTTGGCATTTGCAACTGTTTAGCTTAAGTCGATCAGCTTTTGCGTCTTGCCGCATATTGACATGCAACAAGCTCCGCCGCAGCTCGAAAGTCTCCACAGACTTGCCACATTGTGGCGCTGTGGCTAGAGAGCAATGCATGGTGCTACAATGTCGCGGCCAAGGCAACTTGATGATGCTTTGCCAAAAGGTCGCAGCAGCTCTTCCTTGGCCAGTTTCACTTAGCCGCAGATGCTTTCACTTTTGTCTGCTCGTTTGTGTTTGTGATTTTTTTTTCTATTTTGGGGCCGTGTCACGTTCGCCTTTGCATCAATTTATCATCAACGGTTGGCTGTGCAGCCGGTCCATTGAACCCGCACAGTGCTGAGGGCTTGCGAAGATCTCTTTTTTTTTTTTTTTTTAAAGGGTTAAAGCTTCTGTCATTTGTCAAGGTGACCAAATTACGACCACGGCGGGACACAGCCGAAAATCATATTTAAATTCCACAATATTTTCCCAAATTCTTTAGGATTTGTGCAAACAATCGCGTCTATGCGGCAGGACCTTTTGTCTGCCCCCTCGCTGAGTGCTGCACAAATGTAATAAAAAATTGTTTACAGTCCTTGTTGTTGACCCTGTAAGCATAACGATGTTAAGAAGGGTAAATGGGGCTTAATTCTTGTGGTGTGTTCCAGAGAGAGTTGGAGCTGCTGAACTCACAATATTTATGCTTTACATATTTATGCAGGAAAGTTTATTCGAAGCATTGAACTCCTTGAAAGAGAAAGTAGATATTATTTCTTCCTTTATATCTTGATCATTGTATAAGAGTCCCACACAAAGAAGATTCCCGCAGAATGTAGCTAAAGTAGTAAGTACAGAGCATATCGAAGTCGGGCAGTCGATCACTCTTACTTTTCGTAGTTATTTCGGCTGCTGTTGTCTGCAGCCGTATCATGGCAGTCTGACAAGAGGCCTGCGGCCCTGAGCGAGAGCGAGCCCGGCTCTGCTCTGTTGAACAGCAACAAATGTCAAGGCCTCAAATTCATTTATAATGTGAAATTTAATGCACCGCACTCGTCTGATATTTTCTATGTCGCTTTTGCGTTTTCGGCAAACGAAAACATTGAACGGGGCTCCGGCTCTGATTGATGAGCGCTGCTCGGAGCTTGGCCAACGTCTCGCATTCGGCAGCAAACGACTGCAGCGGCCATGTTCACATTGATTGGCATTTAACATTGAACTTTGCATGTTGTTTGACTGGGCGCTAAGCAAATGATGTGCTGCCATCGAAATTTCACTGCAAATACTTTGGGGGAAACTCGAATGCGAATGTGCATATAAGGTAATCAAGCGAGAGCTTTATTTATGAATTACTCTAATGTGGCGTAACGCAAGGCGAGGACAAAAACAACAGACGCGGCTATGAGCTATGCTCTATGTTGGCTAGAAAGCCCCCAGCTGTGCACACGCAATTTATTTCCGAGAAGCTCAAACGCTAAGCCCGCACTGAGGGTGGAAAACTGCGGCTGTGCGTGTGTGTGTGTTATGTGTGTGTGTGTGCAAATGCGCAGGGGATAAATTTGAATTTTACTGCCAGAATTTGTTAAATAAAACACAAGCAAAATGATTTGTAACTTGCTGGCAGCGCATGCAAATCTACACAAAATATTTACATTAAATTGACTTGAATTGAAAGAAAATTGCCTGAGAAAACCAACAATAGCAGCATCAGCAACATCAACAGCATCAGCAACATCAGCAACAGCATCAGCATCAGCAACAGCAACAAATGTGGTTGACAGCACGGCGAGGCGTATAATAAATTCATCAGCGCAGCAGAGTTCGTCAGGCCAGAGTCACGGAGTCCGGCTTTCCACGGCGGGGTCAAAGTGAAACGTAATTGGCCAGCAGCGCTTAATTTTTGATTAACCATCGCAGCCAGGCAACCATCGGGCCAGGCCAGCACCTGAAGCAACAGAAATTGCGCTGCCTACCTGTAGTATTTTTCCAGCGGGGGCGCATTCGATGTCAACACAAAGTGAAAGTGAAAACTCCGCCAAAAATGAAAAAAAAAAGCAACAAAGCAACAAGCAAAACAACGAAGGCTTTTCCTTTTATGCAATTGCCTGGGACCCACGCTTGGCGTTTTCCCAGAGCGCCACGACTCGTTCTGGTTTGGCTTTTGGTCTACTTGCCGGGCCTGCCACAAAACAAAGGCCAAATAAATCGATGGTAAAAGTTTCGTGCTGATCTTGGCAAGTTCGTTGCCTCACTCTTTTGTTCCTAAGCGCCGCTATTGGCATTGAATGCGGCGCAGGCTGCTAAGCGTTTTGTTTGCTCTGCTGTTAACACAAATGGCAATTACAGCAAATTGGCTATTTCTGCCACTGCTGCCACTGCCACGGCTGCTGTTGCTGTTGCTGTTGCTCTTGCATTAAATTAGCTCTGCTTTTTGGGCTATTTGCAGCGGATGAGCTGCAGCTTCCACTGCGAAAGTTGCATTGCGCTTGCGTGTGAGCTCCACGTGAATTACCATAAATTATCGCCAGCGGATTATGCGGTCTGGCTTCCCATACAAGCCCAAACACATGCTCGCCTCTGTTCAGCTGTGCATGTCCAAAATGTAGAACAAGACAGAGTGCATCTTGTCTCGCTGGCAGCATCAAAATTTTCAACTTTCACGCTGCTTGCACCTGTATAAATATATATGTATATACACACATATATATACATATAATTACTTATGTATACGAGATAATATACACCTGACAGCTCATTGCATGGCATTTCTTTGAAATTATAATTAATTTAATAAAAAACCCAAATTATCCAGAAGCCAGCTGCAGCGCTTCAGGTATGCAGCTGACAAAGGCTGCCTGATATGTCATTTCAATGCGCAGCCTGAAAGCATGCTATAGTTTTTTGTTCAACTGGCCATTGCAATGGCATTGTGGGGATTGTTATATATAAATAAATGGCGACTATAAAGGAGCATGGAAAATATATTTTTATAGTGACAGAATTTTAAACCTCTGTTTGAAAAAAAATATTTACAATCAATATTGATTGTTCCTTTGATAACACGCTTGGATGTGAAGTGCTGGGCAAAAAGTACACGATCATTCACTTCACTGCATTTTCTACTGAATACGATAAATAACTACTGGCATGTTTAAGGATTTTAAAGTTTTCAGTGCCTACTATATATCATATAAAATTTAATAAAATCAAATGTTACTACTGTCAAGGCAACCCGCGCAAAATAGAAATTCTCTTGTGTTGCCCCATGGCTTATCATAGAATAATTGCCATAAACGATCATACCGATTCGTTCCGAGTTCTATAGCCCCGCACTTTCATTAACTTTCTTATTGGCGGCGACAATTTTCTAGCAATTCCGTTGGCAAGGCTGCAATTTGCCCGCAAATTGAGTCAATTTCGTTTTCTATGCAGCATGGCTAATATCTGTGCCAAAATCTTTGCGTGTCCAAATAAAAGACAAGAGCAACCAAGATAGGCTGCTGGATGTATATATTCCATATATAAAGAGTTTTTTTAGTTTAATGTCTGTATGTTTGGGGGCTGCCGATGAAAGTGGGCGTTAGAGCGAATGTATCATTAAGCGCAGCGGCGGTAATAAAAACAAAACGAAAAAAAAAAAAAAAAAAAAAAACGATTGAAATAATTACAAAGACTTGCTAATTACCACAATGAGCAATGAAAATGCCTGGCTGGCTGGCTGCCTGCCTGGATGCCTGGCTGGCGGTTTTACTGCCAATTGCACTAAATCTGCAGCGAAGCAGATTGCGCCGGCAGCTTAGCAGATCGGCAGCTGAACAGAAGTGCATCCAACATGCATATTACGCTCTGAATAGCCAACTGGCACTGGGGCGCCAACAAAAGCAAAACTGGATGCAACGGCTGCCTGGCTAATTGTGGCAACTACAAGTGTATAAATTTGTGGCACAGTCCGCCGCACAAGATCAGTTGGCCGAGCGAGTTGGCCAGAACGACAACATACAGCACACGCACAGCTGTCAAGTGAGCAGAGGCTAATCCCAAAGGATATACACATATGCACACAATGGATACGCGTTTGGGTCTACTCGGCGTGCTGCTGCTGCTGGCGGCGCCCATCTGGACGCTGGAGGTGCCCCACAATGCGACTGCTGCGGGCGAGAGCGGACTGCTGCGCACCATGCGGCACGTGTGGACGCAGTGCGCCGAGAGCGAGGATATTTTTTGGTGCTGCAAGCTGCAGGGAGCCCGCCTGCTTGGGCGCGCTCTTAAGGTGCAGCAGCTCAGCATTGTGGATGGCATTAATCTGGTGAGGCGAGCCGGCGCCGCTGGCACGGAGGACACGCGCACAGGACGCGCCAGCATTAGCGAGCACCAGCTGAACAATCGCGACCTCGAGCACATGTCCAGCAAGAGCCTGGACGCGCTGCTGCTGGAGCGCTTCCTCCACTTCCTGCACAGCCACCAGCTGCAGGTGAATCTGCCGCGGCTGCTGCGCTACGGCGAACGCAACAGCCAGGACTGGCTGCAGTCGCTGCTGGGCTACTTCATGAACGGCGAGCCGGCGGGCGTGGATAGCGAGGGCCGCAAGAAGAAGGACGACAAGAAGTATCTGGGGCCGTTCATAGCCGCCGTGCTGCTCAAGACGGCCATACTGAAGATGGCCTATCACTCGATAGCCATTGTGGCCGGCAAGGCGCTGATCGTGGGCAAGATCGCGCTGATCATCAGCGCCATCATCGGGCTGAAGAAGCTGGTCAGCCACGACGGCGGCGAGAAGACCACCTATGAGATTGTCAAGCACCCGCAGGTGCAGCAGAGCCACACCTACTCGTCGAGCCACCAGGGCGAGTATGACACCGGCGGCCACGACGGTGGCTCCTATCATCGCAGCATCGACGACGAGATGATGATGCAGGACAAGGCCTATCACGCCTGGTTGCCGCAGGCTGGTGCCGGCGGTGCAGCCGGTGGCCCGGGCGCTGCCGCTGGCGCCTCCACCAAGGTCACCCGATAAGCTCGCCCAGCAGCTCGCCCATCACCAAAGAACCGAAATTGTTTCGCATAGCTTCAATTTGTCTGCAATTGTATTTACACTTGTTGACTTTCAACTTAGCCTAAGCCTAGTTATCATAGTTACGATTATTTTTACCACAGAAATACATAAAGCTAGAGAAAACCAGGTCTGCGCACTGCGGCACTTGTTGGCTTCGCTTCTTTACTTATCGTCAATTGTCGTCGACTCGGCTGCTCCATCTCGTAGGCATAGTACGCCTGATCGTGATTCGAATGCGACTCGTCTCCTGCCGTCTCCGCCGGATGGGTGCCACTGTAGTCGTGCGTGGGCATGCTGCGATGCCAGCCGCTCTCGTGACTGTGTCCTCCTCCACCGCTCGTCACGATCACGTGCTCCGGCGCACTACTGCCACCAGTCGATCCCTTTTTTAGACTGCCCTGCAAAAATGAGCGTAGCGCCAATTGACTTGATCGGATTAAATGTGCTTAGCCTACACTCGGAGAAGTCGAGCAAAATATATGTATATATGGCTATAATATATCAAATATTTCTCATGATTTTCTTTTCATTGAAAATGAATTGATATTTTATGTTATTGGCTAGTCACTTTTTGAATTAATTTGTTAATTTTATGAATATTATACCTTTGCAAAGAGCTATTAATTGGCTGCATACAAAAGCTGTTTGATATGAACTGATTCTTATAAATGTCTACACTCAAAAGCTAATTGCTTTGAACGCTGTCTGGAGAAAGCAGTAAGAGAATAATAATACGTCTGAATTAATAAACTCGTGAAAATATTTTGATACAAAGGTGAACAATATTCGACAAGTTCATCATATTCTTCCATTCCACATTCTTCCATTCATTCCCTTAGGATATTATGAAAAGCCAAAGAGTTTACTATTCAAGAACTTTATGCATGACAATGGTGATAAACCTTTCATTACTACTCATTGTGCTTGCCTACAAATGGAGAGTTAAACTATCGAACATGACATATCAGCTCAGCAGCTGCTACTGCACTAATATATGCACAAGCTATTTCGGCTTAATGCTATCCGATTACTTTTCACATTATCATTTACTTTGCTTCCCTTTCACAGCAATAAAAATGAACAATTTAAGTTTTAAGTGCACTTTTTCTTTGAGTGCTGCAAATGCAAATTGTTTTTTTTTTTCTCTCTTCTTCTTCTTCTTCTTCATTTTGTTAATCATTTCGTTACTAAATTGACTCACCAGCAGCGATATGACGAGAGCGATTTTGGCCATTATGAAGGCAGCGCCAGCGATGATGATGACCTTGCCGAGGAACATTTGCGCGAAGGTTGCCAGCATTATCATGCCGCCCATCATGGCCATGTTCTTATCTTTGTCCTTCTTCTTGCGACCTGTTTTATTGAAACAGTTTTTGTTTTTATTTTTCTTTTTCTTCTTATCTTTACCTTTTTTCTTTTTCTTCTTCTTTTTCTTTTTCTTCTTCTTGTCTTTGTCTTTCTTTTTCTTTTTCTTTTTTAGCTTATCTTTATCTTTATCTGTATCTGTCGCTGTCGCATGCACTGCCAAACTACCAAAGCCCGCAACTATGTTATCGATTTTATCATCTATGCGAGCTATCGTACCTTGATCCGAGCCCGGTGCAGTGCCAAAGTCATCGATGGCATTCGATATGGTCAGCTGCCGTGGCAGCCTCACGCGCAGCGCCCTGCCCTGCGCCAGCTCCAGCAGCTTGGCTGGCAATCCTCGCGAGCTGCGCCCCTGCTTCCTCTGCTCCATCTGCATGGTGTTTGGCTGATGCGGCTCGATGCTGAGATACTCGCTCAGCTGCCAGGTGCTGTTATCCTGCCGGGCTGCATCCAGCAGCCGTTCCGCCTGCTCGGCCAGGCAGTGCCACGCCTCGGCGTCGGACAGGCACAGCTGCAGCAGCTGACCCAGACTGTGCCTGCTCCACAAGGAGACTTCACTCGTTCCGTTCAGCTCTTGTGCCCGGGCAGCGGCGAGCACCAGCCACAGCCAGAAGAACACGACTTGCCGCATGTTTCACGTTCGAACTACAAATAAGTCGGCTGCCAGCCTGTGGCCTATTATTTATATGAGCGCTGTGACGTCACGGGCTTCACAGCAGAATGGAACAATTAAATGGCTTGTCAAAGCGCGACACAGCCGAAGCGAGCGCTCTTGATGGGAATCTAATAAGAAAAGTTTGTCTTTCACGCCAGCTCGAACTCTTGACAGAGCTCGAACTCTTCAGTGCTCACTGAACCGCCAAATCTTTCGCATGGAGCGACTTTCGCTTTGGAAAGCGCTTAGAAAAAAAAAAACAACGATTTATTATATACCTACACATATATATGTTTATTTATTTCATAAGTTAAGTTAAGCTAATTGAACTATGTCTTAATTAGAATATGAAGCACTCTGCAACAAAATTGAGTTTTTGGATGGAACGATGGATGGCTCCAAGAGTAATTTTCACGCAGCCAACGAAGCCTTAAATGACTTTAGTTGGTTTCCATTTTCCATCAGACTCTTCTTACTTTTACGAGCTCACAGCGATCTCACATCCACAACCTGCCAGCCATTCATCTGGCTGGAGCCAGAGCTGCTCTGCAGACTGCGCACTAGCGCATCCGCTGAGCCAATGCTGTCCACCAGCGGATTCTTTACCCTGTGCTGCTTCTCATAGTCGTAGAAACGATCCTCGGTGGGTCGCTTGGTGATAGCAGCTGCCGCTGGCTGTTCCCGGGGCTGCTCGAAGCGCACCTTGCGGTCGCTGCGTTTATAGGGCTGCGGCTCGTGCACATTGTAGGATTGATGGTGCAGCTCGTCGTTGTGGCTGTAAACTGTTGTCTTGCCCGGGAAATGGCCAATGGGGCGTGGTCCGCCAAAGCCACCGCCATAGCCGAAGGCAGCGGCACCGCCTCCAAGGCCACCCACGCCACCAAAGCCGCCCAGCGTGCCCAGCACGCCGCCGAGGCCCAGGAAGCTGCTCACGTAGATCGCCAGCTTGGCCAGGAAGAGGGACTTCTTCAGCAGCAGGCAAATGCCAGCGAAGAGCAGCGGCACCAGGGCCACCAAATTGAACTTCAGACCGAGCAGAAAGGGCACCAGATACTGCTTGGCCAGCAAGCGACCTATGTGTATATATGTGTCAGTCCATTTACATAACCTTATCTGAGAGTCTCACAGCTCACCTGTGCTGGCCTCCTCAAAGCCAAACTGCCGCTGGTCGAGCGCATCAGTGTCCAGCACAAACTCCGCCACGCTGTTCGCATCGGCGGTGGGTCCGATTTTGAACATGAGGCCGGGATAAATGCCATCCATGTGCCACTCCAGGCTGCGCTGCCCCATCACAGCGCCCGCATTCTCCAGAATGCCGCGAAAGTCCACCGGATCTGTGTCCAGCACATTCACCAGCGAGCGACTGGCGGCCGTCTCCTGCTTGACGGCCACAAGGTCGGCCACAAAGGTCACATTGTCCCGCTCCTCGAAGCGCTGTATGAAGTTGAGAGCGGAGCGGCCCAGGCATTCGCTCAGTTTGCCGCGCTGCGAGCCACGCACGCACTGCTTGAAGTGCTGCAGCTCCTCCAGGCTGTCCTGCTGCAGGTCGGTGCCAGCTGTGGCTCTGATGAGGAGCAACAGTGGCAAGAGCAGAGGCGGCAGACTTTCCATGCTGTGCAGCTCGATGAACGCGATTCAACTGAGCCTGCTGGCCAGCTGACCCGTTCGCTTTATAGTTGAACCAGTCGCGTTATACAACTCACATTTTGGCCAAATCTGCTCGAGTTCGGCTCAGTTTTTGCACATGTAATGCCGCCGTGGCCCAATAACGGAAATTGTTGTACATCAACGCCAAGTGACTGACAACGTTGTTGTTGTTGTTGTTGTTCGTGTTGTGGGTGCTTCTGCAGCAGCTGGCATCATGGTCATGGTCAGTGCACACGCGCGGCCGGCGACCCACGGCGCCGACTTGCGGCCAATTTTGTTGTTGTTATTGTTGTTGTTTCATTTCGCACATCTTGGCCATTACATAATGAGCCATTGTCGAGCTCCAGAAATGTTATGAAAGAGGCGCCACAGCTCAGATCCAATACAGGCAGCTCCATCAAATAAGCGTCTGCAATTATGGCATTACCACAAATGAACGCCCATTTAAAGAGTCAAATTTGAAGTTTTTTAAAATCTTGTAAGCGCCCAAAATAAATCAGCGGATATTAGAGTTCCGATTGAGTTAAATCTGTAGCTAGCTAGTAATGTAGGAAATAGGCGTTGCCTTTGTGCCAAGCAGTAAGCCCTTGATTTTTTTTTTTTTTTTTTTTTTTTTTATATATAAAATGAGAGACAATTGTGAAGAGTATAAATGTATAAAATCTATATAAATAGAATATTTATAGCTGAAATATATATATAAATAGAATATTTATGCTCAAGTTTATACACTCTCCCTTTCTTCACTCTCTGTTCCCTATGATTTCAATATATTACTTTAATTACAAAAAAAAAAAAAAAAAAAAAAAATAATAATAATAATAAATAAATAAATAAATAAAATAAAAATTAAATTTATATATGACGCACATCTATGAAGAACTAACTTTATTTTGAGAATTCAAAGAATTGTATATTATGTAAATATTATTTTAGCTTAATTTTAAGTCATATAGCTCATATAAATATATTTCTACACACACACTTACTGTTTTAAAATATATGTCGCATCTAACTCATGATTGAATGTTGTAAAAGGAATAAGAGATTCTCCATTCTAAGTCTTCTAATTCTGTTCAACTTTTTATTGATTGCTCCGTACGTTAGTTGCAGGCTTCTCTCTAATTCTGACTATGACTATGAAAGAGAGAGAGAGATAAAGAGGGAGAGTGAGTGAGAGAGAGAGAGAGAGAGCAATAGACAAAAACATATGTTGCTGAGAGTGAGATGACTACACAGACTATGCAGACAGTCGTTATGATTTTCAATGGACGGCAGAGAGACAAAGAGAGGAGACTAAAATTTTTCCCTCTGGAAGGCTACATTTTGAGCTACAACATACCGAGAGTTTGTGGCTTTTATCGCTATAGAATTTTTCGAGCAGAGCTCTAAGTCTGTTTACTTGAAAAATTCGACAGGATTCTAAACTATTTTAATACCTGCTGCATATTTCAAATACTTAAGGCAAGAATTTTTATACCACGAATTATTTTAAGAATATAAACGCACATCTCGAGGTTTGGGCCCAAGACATTTTTCTAAGAAAATTATTTTCGGAATTTAAAGTCTGACGAAAATCCCAAGTTCAAAGCAAAAAAATGTTGTTGCTTTTAAGAATTTTATAGTTAAGTGTGATGTTTTACTTTCCAGACTCAGTTCACATTCATACTTTATTTACTAAATATTTCTCAGTAAAACAAACATTTATGATTTCTCCAGTTTCCCTTTTGTATTTGATATTGGTTCAGTTTTGCTGCAATTCATGTGTGTGCGTAAATAAACTCCCTAGACATCTCACACTTGCCTAATGATTTGTCCTTTCTAATCTTTGCAGTTGTTGTTGCTGTGGGAAAAGCAATCCGAAAGCGGTTGACCACTCGCACCGCACAATGGATCTTTTGGCTGCTCTGGGGCAACAGCAAAAAGTTGATTCGAAAGTGTTGCATACTTTCAGGCGGAACTGGAAACAAGCTAAGGTGTTGCAAGCCCGTCGGAGTGCAACAAAGCCCTTAATAACAACAACTACAGCAACAACTGTAACGACAACAGCAACTGGTAGGTCGTTAGATAAACTCTACACCGTCTACAGCTTTTAGCCACCGAGTGGTTGATAAAGTTTTGCATATTTTGCTAATGAATTCCGACAGTCGTAAACTTTAGGTAACCAGAAGTGGCACGCCCCCTGCAGCCCACTTATTTTCGAGTAGGCCAATTTGCAATTTGCCAGAACTTTAAGGCTTAGTTTGAGCCACAGCCTGGCCAAAGTTTTCGCACTCGAACAGAGGCAGCGCAAAGTTTTCAGGCTGTGTCTGGGCCAGATTTTCAGAGCGATTGCCGCAAATCTGGCCAAATAAGTGGAATTAATTTTCCCATTGCCACAGACTGTGACAAACGCAAGCACTAGAAATTGTATTAATAAACACTTTCACCAGCAACATTTCAGATTCAACGAACTACAGCAGCAGCAGCAGCAGCAACAGTTGCAGCAGGCGAAAATTGTTGACAAACAGTTAAGAAATCGTTTTGGCCATTTGGCATTTGCCATACGGCCATAAATTGCACCGACTCCCCCCACACAAGCAGGGCGTGCCCCATCTTCATGGCAGCATTGACATTGCGCGGCGGGGCGGGGCGTGCAGAGCATACGTGCTGCAATTGCACATGCAAAAAGCAGGTCGTAGCCAAATGTGGGGACTTTCATTTGATTTTGGAGCGACACCGGATACCAATGAGCACATTGGCGTGGGCAGAGAGTGGGTGGGAGGGGGCCGTGAGCATGTTGGAGAGTGTATGTGCAATGGCTAGGCCAATAGGAAGCTAGTTGGCCAGCAGCTAGCGATTGCAGCTCTCAGTTGGATCTCCTGCACGCCTCAGTGCGCTGGCTGGCAAGTGAAATTCTTCCTCAGCTTCGGCTTCAGCTTCTGCTTCGACTTCTTCGTGCAGTTGTTGCTGTTGCTGTGTGATTTTGTGTGTCGCACATGCAATTGATATCACTGGCCTCGTTCGCCTTAGTTGGTAATTCATTTTATTAGTGAAAGAGTGAAAGCATTTCACTTGAAAAACACAAGAAAAAATCCGAAAAAAAAAGACGCAAGCAAGCAAGCGAGCTGTATGCGACGCACGTTGCGTATGCGCAATATAAACATATATACGCATATGTATGCATATATATATATATGTAGTTATGCCTGTGAAATGCAAAGCGATGTTTTTGGTTACAGATAAATGCGGCTTTATTGAGTTTCATTTGAGTGTCTGTGTCTGTGTGTGCGTGTGCGTGTGCGTGTGAGTTGGGGCAATTGGGTGCGGGCGTGGGGGCGTGGCGAAACGTTGACTGGACAGAGTAGTTTGTGTGTGGCTTGTCGTAAAACAATCAGAAACTGTATATAGTTAATAGTTGTAAAAAATAGTAAAGCTATGAGCAAATAATTACACATAATACAAGTACACGAGTACAGTTAACAGTTAAGAGTTAACAGTTTAGAGTTTACAGTTTACAGTTTACAGTTTAAAGTTATAATTTATAGTTTACAGTTAACAGTTTAGTTAAGTTTAAGTTTGAGCAAGTGCCGCCCCCGCTTTCATTTAGCCGACTGCAATTACAGCCGACTTCATGTTTGTTAGAGCTTATTAACTAGGGTTTCATTTCTCTTGTTTGACAGTGTTTTTTCTTTGTTTTCTTTTGTTTTCTTTTTGTTTGTTTTGTGTTGTTGCTGCTGCTGATGGCGCCTTTCGCTTGAGTTAAGCTAGAAATAAATTAAATAAATAAAATAAATTAAACGAGCTGCGAGAGCTCTGTGCTCATTTCCTTTGCATTTCCTTCACTTTCATGAGTTTTCCTCTTCATCATCTTCCTTTGTGTGTATTGCACTAATTGTTGTTGCTCTGATGCTGTGACCTCAGCATCTATTGCTGATACGCCGCGTAGGCCAGGTTCTGTGCCTCAGCATTGTTGTGCAGCGACCGGCCGTAGCTGTGCTCGTGCTCGTAGTGCGGGTGCGCAACCACCTCGTAGTTCTCCTTCTTCGACTCGAGCAGCTTCTTCAGACCGATGATGCCAGAGAGCAGCAGCGCAATCTTGCCAATGACCAGGGCCTTGAACGAGATGAGCGCCAGGAAGCCAATGGCCAGGGGCAGCAGCGCGGCCATCTTCAGCTTGAAGAGCATCAGCAGCGGCATCAGATACTTCTTCTTCTCCTTCTTCTTGCCGCGTGCTAAACAAACAAAAAAAAAAATCAAGCAAGCAAAAATAAGATATTGAAAATTGATATATAAAATAAATTCATTTGATAAATGTCTGCTTGACATGCGATACTTTCGCTTGCTGGCTGGCCATTGGCTTGTTATCTGCTCATTAGCAACTGGAGCAAGGCGCATAATTATTAATTGGACGGCAATGAGCAATGAATAATGAAGCGGCAAACAGGATTGGCTGCTTTCTATGGTCGGAAATCGCACAGAAAAGAAAGTGCGCCCGAGCCGCGCTGAACTGGCTAAAATGCAATTAATTGCAACGAGCGGCAACAAGCGGCAACAAGGTTGCTTGCCAAGCTGCATGCCACAAGCGCCTGTCAATGCACCGCTAGACCAAGAGCCACCGCATCGGTCCTGCTGGCTGGCTCTGACCCCAATGTGTGCATGTGTGTGCGACAGCTAACAGTGAAAACAGGATTTCCAGCGATGCCCAGTTTGCGTGTGCTGCGGCTGCTGTTGCTGCTGCTGCAGGTTGGCAGCCAGACGCAACTGCATCGCGCTGACAACGATAATTGCACCACTAACCCAAATTGGCAGAATAGCGCAGAACCAGTAAGCCAGAAGCAAAGAGCAAGCTTTCCGTTTGGCTGCTTGGCTAGTTTGATATGCTTTACTCACATTCTTCGAGAGCGCGCTGCATATCCTGTATGGAGTCCTTGGGCACCTTGAACTGCAGCGTGTGTGTGCCGAAGAAGCGTGCGACACGCTCCACCAGCAGCGAGTCGACCTCACTCTCGCGTGCCTCCGCCTCCTCGGGCAGGGCCACATCGTTCAGGGAACGTCCCACGGGTATATCATCGGTCTTGACCAGGGAAATGCCCTCCGTCAGCTTCACATCTCCGTTCTCCGAGTCAAAGTAGTGCAAGGCGCGTTCCTGTTTACATAAGAGTGTATGTGTGTGTGTGAGTGGGTGATGTTTTCATATTTGTGATATGAGATAATCGATTGATAAAGCCGCGCTCTGCACACTGTTGTTGTTTTCTTTTTTTTTTTTTTTTTTTTTTTTTTTTTTTTTTTTTTTTTTGTTTACCTTCATGCACAGCACCATGGAGCGCTCGCCGCAGTCCTTGACCATGCGAAGGGCACTCGTCAACAGGCTGTCAGCCTCAGAGGCTGCTGCTGCCGCTGAGGCAAGCAGCGCGAACAGGCACACTGATTTCAGCATAATTGAATTTGTTTTTGTTTAATTCTCTTTGCGTGAGCGGGGGGGCAGCGTGGGATCTGACGCAACACACCACAACAACACTTGACACTTGGTATTGATTATCCTTGATTTGGGCACACGACTCTGCCTGAGTCTCAGCTGTACAGTTGATTGAGTGCACTGCGCTCGATTGGCTTATTCGATCTGTCGGTCAGAAGGCAATCCGTAAACTGTGGCTAGAAGACGCACGCGGATCGAGTTTTATTCCCGGCCAGCAGCGCCGTTGCTGACAACGACAACGACACCGACAACGACGTCGATGGCAACGACGACTCACGACGCGCTAGCCGCATCCCCAACACTCACACACACACACACACACACATGGCGACTCAAACAGTAGCCGAGCTTAGAATTTAAATAAACAACCTGACGAAGACGACGTCAAGCACAACTACAGCCACAGCCACAACCACAATCGCCACATTCACAACCACAGCGAAGCGCAACGGCTGCGGCTCTTGATGCAACCTGGCTTGACTTGGCTTGGCCTGGCCAACAGTGTGCGTGCGTGCATGTGTGTGCGTGAGTGTGAGTGTGTGCTATGCTGACGCAGTGCCGCAGTCACGGTCGACGTCGCAGTCGCTGCCAGCAGCGCTGCCCTGGCTTGTTAGCGACTGCTGTTGCTGCTGTTGTTGTTATTGTTGTTTGTCAACAGACTTAAACAGCACTTAGCTATTTGCACACACAGACACAAACACACACACACACTCGGACACACCTAGCCGCTAAATGATTTGAATCAGTTTAGCGTGCATTAATTTTTGACAGCTCAAAATTTTGCATTGGCGCCTGCACAAGTGGCACACTTTCGGCTGGCTGAGAACCATCGAGCTCAGAGTGTGGTCTGGGGCTGAAAGTGGTGCGTGCTGCTAGACGCTCCACTGATCGAACCATTAGAAATTGCAGACACGTGACTTGATGCGGCACTTAAAGCTAGCGCTAATCAAACGCCAGCATAGCTGGCCAATCATAGCACATCAACAACAGCAACAACAACAGCAGCAACAACAACAGCAACAACAACAGCAACAACAGCGGCTCTACTTATGATGAAAGCAACCACACGGCAACGGGCATCGCTCAAATTGGAGTAAAATAGAAAATTAACTAGTTTGCAGGCGGCATGGATAAAAAAATTTCACTTTAATTTTGCTTTTTATTTATGTATTTGTTTTTCTCCATCTCACTTATAGCCCCACCATCTGTACATCTCTCCTCCACACACATTAGCACATAAACATATCTCTATATATCTGCAATTTTGTATGCCAATCGCTAACATTTGCACAAGAGTTTCATATCACACAAAATCTTTCGCATTATGTCGCTTTAATTTTTACTCTTTTACATGAATATTATCATTTTAAATTTTTAGCACGTCTTTAAAAATACCCTGCATATGGCAAAAGCTACGATGGCTAATAAAAATTGGTATCAAATGCAGTATTTGTCTCTAACTGTGTTTATGCAGAAAATGTAAATTTAAGTTATCCCATTTTAAAATTCTTTTTTTTTTTTTTTTTTTTTTTTTTTTTATATCTAATAATATGTATTACGATTTTCACATTTCGCATCTAGTTTAGCTTTTAGTTGAGTTATAGCAAATTCAAATATGTAGTTCATTATATATTTGTATATACATAATTGAAGCTGGTGAAACTCATTTTAATTTAAGCTTCCTTTATTGTACATTTTATGCTTCGTATATCAAAATAATTGTTATATTATCGTTAAAACTAAGTTATTAGATGCTTAAATGCTTAATACCTAGAGTGTTCTACCTATTTTGTAATATTTAAAATAAAAAAAAAAAAAATAATAAATAAATAAAAAATTGGGTAATCTAAATTAATTTATGTGTATAACAAAAAATATAATAAAAATTTTGTTTCCAGACACAGTTTGAGCAGATCAATATAATTAATGTATGAATTTCTTAATCTGGAAAGATATATTTACAAGCCGAAATAAAAAGATTCTTTTTTTTAAATCCCAACTGAAAATGTTCTAAGGCGAATAAAAAAAGATAAAAATATTTTAAAATATAGTGAAACATTTTTTTTAAATTTTATATTATTATATATACCTAAAGAATACCTATAAAATATATAGCATCATATATATATATATACTTAAATGCCAAGTGATTTGAACTGGCTTAAATTAAATTCAGATTCAGATCATTAAGATAAGGCCAAGATCATTAACAATAACTAAAAAAAAAAAAAAAAAAAAGCATTAAACCTTGATTTCTCATATTTAAAGGGTTCAGGGTATAAAACTGTATTAAAGAGTATTTCATAGTCAAACACTCTACACATGCGCTTTCTCGCTTGCCTCATTTTCTTCGTTTTTTTTTTTTTTTTTGCTTCTTCGGTTTTTGTGTAATTTACGCATTAGTCAAGTACCTGAAAGAAAGCGCTGAATGCTGAGATTTGCACGCTACTTATGCTCGATTCCAGATGCAAAGCAAGCCAAATTTTTTGTAGCTGATTATCTGCGTAGCCTAAACAGCGTATAGTTGATGAGCCGAAAGGTGTTTAGTTACTGTTATTGTTGCTGTTGCTGTAGCTGCTGTGCCTGATGCTGATGGGATATTCAAATGACGTGCACGTGTATATGTAGATGTAGATGGATGTGCGTGTGACGTGACTTGAATGCCCATCAGCCATCAGCCATCAGGCTATCAGGTCTGAGGTGTTGTACACTCGTGCAGCACGCATCTAGCCTCGAATCGTGTGTAGGGCATGTGTCGGTCGACTAGCCGGCTGTTAGCCAGCTATTTAAGATTCGGGCAATTATTTTGACTGCATGTCAAAAGCAATGAAAGTGAAATAGTATTTGATTTCATTTGAATGGCTGCGGACGAGCTGAGATTTTTGCTTATGTAAGCGTCGCCGGCTAAGCGGCTAAAGTCTTAGAGAAAAGCCATTACTGAAATATTTAAGATACTTAACGATGCTTGCTCGAACATTGACTCGGCTCAGGAAACAGCTTGACAGCATCCTGTTCATTAGACGCTGGGCTCAGTTCCTCCAGCTACGCTGCGATTACTCATGGCTCCGACTGCTTTCATTTCACGCTCAGGTCCTCAGCTCTCGCGCCCAACCCTTTTTCCAGCTGCCGTCTACCGTCTATCGAATTGACACCTTTTTGAAAGTTTCACTTTCATGCCAAGCCTGAGGCCCCCTCCGGCCTCCTCTGTCCCGCAATCTGTGACATTTGCTGGCGAATTCCGGCTACCTCTTGTTCCGTCAGGCTTGAGTAATTTTCAATTAATGAAAGTGTTGCCCAGGCCCCGAATGTGACGTCAGCAATTAAGCAACGAAAAGGCCATTTGATTAGGCGTGAGAAACGTATTTAAATGAGTCTCAGGCTCAGTTTTTGTTGAATAGGTTCAATGTTCTACCTCGTTTTGGCCTGGCTGCTTGCTGGGCCAGTAGCTCATTAATATTTTGTGCAGACTGCAAAAGTGAAAATGTCGCATACCTCTGAAAGCAACAACAACAAATACAACAACGGCAACTACAACACAATTGAAGCAAGTGAGAGACGCTCGAGCATATTTGATCTATGAATATTGCATTCGACTCTAAAAAATGTGCTCGCAGTTTTATATGTAGCTCTTTTTGGTAGAAAGCGAAGACATTTTCAGTGTTTTTTTTTTTTTAGCACGCACGTAAGCATTTTTTGAAATTGTTATCATAAATTCAGCTGGCGCTGTTGAGGCGTGGCTGGGCTGGCCGAGACTGAGAAGAGGTAGGCGAAATTTTAAGCAAAAATTGTTTACTACATTTAATTAACGCTTACTTAGGCCTAACACACACATTTAGTTCGTTACACATAGATATTTATGTATATATGTATATGTATATGTATATAGAGATAATCGAATTAAGCTAAACATTATTGATTATTCAGACAATTCATGCGGCAATCGTTTCTTTGGTGAACTCCATCTCAAATGCAAATGCTAGCTCAGCTGGTTGGCTGGCCGCTTTACAGGCTCTTTGCGCTGCCCGGCGACTCCTTGGCCGGCTTCCAGCCGCTGTAGGCCATGTCAAAGTCACGGCCCCAGCCCGAATGGCCGCCGGAGGAGACGACCACCTCGTGGGAGGACTCCTTGCCGCCGCCGCCGCCGCTGAGCAGTTTCTTAATGCCAATTATGGAGGCCAGCACCAGAGCCAGTTTGGACACGATCAACGCCTTGCCCGCCAGCATGGCTAGTGCGCCGTATGCGATGGGCACGAAGGTGCCGCCCAGCAGCAGGGGGATCATGATGTAGGCGCCGTTGCCCTTCTTATCCTTTTTCTTGCGTCCCTCCACTGAGTTGCTATCAACGCCACGCAAGTCGGGAAATTTGATCTGCGAGTGAGAGAGGCAGAGCAGAGATAGAGAGAGAGAGAGAAGGAGCAGTGGTTGGGCACTTAGGCTGGCCTAAGCTGAGCCACACTCACCTGCAACGTGTGATCCTGCAGGAAGGTGGCCACGCGCTTCATGATCATGCTGTTGAGGATCTGCTCCTTGGCATCCAGGCCGCGCGGCAGCACGGCCTCAATATCCTGCTCCGTGATGGGCGGCAGCTGTGACCGCTTCTGCGCCTCATCCGTGCTGCTCACAAACTGAATGCCCTCGAACAGGGGCAACGTTTTGGCCGAGCGGAAGGCCTTCTCTAGCCCGGTCAGCAGCTTGACCTTGAGGCACACGGAGAGGTTCTCGCCCGTGCACTGTTGGTAGATGCGGTAGACCAGCGACAGGTCTTTCCACAGGCCCGTCGAACTAGCCGACTGTGCCGCCGGTTGCACTTTCTGTTGTTGTTGCTGCTGCTGCTGCTGTTGCTCCACGCTGAGGCCATTGATGTGGTGGTAGCTGGCCGTGCGCGCCGTAGAGCCAGGCAGCCAGCAGAAGATTATCAGCAGCGCTGCCACATGCCACATGTACTTGATCATCTCTGTGCTCGTGTGTGTGTGTGTGTATGTGTGACTGTGTCTGGGTGTGTGAGTGTGTACTAAGCTCCTTTGTGGATATCCTGCAGCGTAATGGCAAAACTGTTGCTGGGCGCTGCTCTTAAGTTGCTCAACTGAGTGCTTGCTAGAGCAGTGCTAGCATTTTATACCGCCTGCCCGTTTGTCTGATGGCTAATTGCGCTTGGGTGCATGTCAAGCAGCAGCAGATGAATTTCATCAAAGAGAAGAAGATGAAAAACAAATTGTAATAATGCAAGCAAAACAAAAAAAAAAAAAAAAAAAAAAACAACGCAGTTTGTTTTAGTCTAAATATCACGCCAATTAGTCGGACTGGCGGCTGCGGCCAGAGGCTTTTGGCCATTGAAGCTGCGCTTTCGTGATTTCGCTGCTGCGAAAGCAACCGAAAATCTATGCAGCTGCAGCGACTGCATCTCCATTGCTGCCAGTGCTGCAATTTCATTTGTAATTATAACAAACAACTTGCAGCTCGTTCTAAGCTATTGAGTTTTTCTGCACATGTAAAACAGAGCGCGCTGCTGCGTGCGTGACTGCCACATGCCTCATGCTACTTGCTGCACGCCTCCTCCACAGTCAATGGCATTGGCATTGGGCGCAGCTGTTAATCCCAAGCTACAATTTCTATATCTGTGTTAGGCCTGTTTAGTAGACCGAATCGCAGGGGCTCTCTTGTTTTTTCGGTTTTTATCACAGATTCACTGTCATCCCACAAATCGTAACTTTTCTTTTTATAAACGAAGAATTCGGCACTGCAACACAGCAAGCACTCGCTAAATGTACCCAAAGGCGATGGCTCGTTTATGTTTTACAATTTATTTTAGGATTGTATTAAGAGGTGTATAACAAGATTCTTGTTAACTGACCTTTTCTTATCTTTTACTGGCTTCAATAAACATTATTATATAAAAAAAATATATTGTTACTTACAACTTTAAGGTACTAAACTTGCATTGTACAGATTCAGCGCTTAAAATAAATATACAAAAAAAACTTACAACTTTATTCTTATCTTATTCAATTCCAATTTTTAGATAAATATTAATTTGAATATTTTATCCAATATTACTAAAATCTTCAACCGCAGAAGGATATTTTTCCATACTGCACAGAGACCTGAAACTCGCCACTGTCTTTGATGCGATAAATCAGCACTCTAGCCGGTATAATGATAGATTGGAGCGGCACAAAAACAGGCTAGCAAAAATGCTCATACCAAACAGAACTCCTAGGAGGCTTAAAAGGAGACAACCAAGGGACCTGATTCTCCGATCGCCCCGGATGACGGTCAACAGGAGTTGACATATAGCTGCCATCATTGTGTTATTATTGTATTATGTTGTAAATATTTGTAATTGTAAATATTCGTAAATTGCGACAGCAACGTAAGTTGCCGGCGCGCCCTAAAGGGCTGAATGAACAGATAATAAGCTCACAAAGGGGTTATCGAAAAACCTCGTATGGCTTTAACAAATAAAAAAAAAAAAAAAAAAAAAAAAAAAAAAAAAAGAAGGATATTTCGTATACAAAAAAGTGTTGCATAGTCTTAGGCTCATTCAGAAAATTACTTCCACCTTAAGGCACTGATCGAGTGAAGAGTGCATTGGCTAAACGAAAGAGTTGAGACACAAACTTTGTGAAATTGAACGAAAGTAAGAGAAAGCTTTTCTTTTGTTATGCTGATAAGACATATACATATTTATCCAATATAACATGGTTTTTAAGAGAAGTGGGTTATATGTATAAGCATCTATGAATACTTATTTTAGTTCAAAGAAAATGACAATTTAATGCGTGACTCGAGTTGTATTTGTTATTGTAATTTATAATTCAACAATGAAAAATAGGCTTAAAGAATATATGCTTGATTATGTATGTTAAGTTGACAGCATATCTAAACCAACTGGAATTTTCTCTGCGAACATGCAGTTGAAGGTGAATAATGAAGAAAATATATGGGCTGGGAATAGATAAAAAAAAGATATTAAAGTAAGAGCTATCTGATAATAAGCTGTATAAAATAAATTACATCTCATAAAAAATATCTATCAGAATCCTTACTGGAAATAGCCAAAACACATTTTATGCTTCTAGCCTGCATTGGGTTAGTAATATATTCAAGGAAGAGGAAGAGAACAGCTTCGCTCAATGAAATAAACACAGTCGTTGTCTAATCTATCATGATAATCGGTAATGTTTCAATTAAGCAATGCAAACTTAGTCGACCGTATAGATATGCTTATGGCCCATTGGGCGTGTGGCAATGGCAACTGAAACCGCATCGATAAAGCTTATGTATGATTTGCAATAAAATGAATAACTATTCAAGCAGCAAAACCACGAACCGAGCCAATCGACCGTTTGCGGCCATTGCGGCTCATCAATTAATCCACAAATTGTTATTAACTAACTGAGAAGTGCGATGTGCGGTGCTCGGTGTGTGCACGCGTAGTCGGAATCATAAATCAACCGTTAAGTCAACTGGGCGGCGTTATTTAGTTATTCAACTGTTTCAGCATTTTGCATGCGACTCGTATGCCCAATTAACTTTCAATTAATCATGACTAATAATAATCGTAACTGCGCACGGAGGCGCTTAACAAACTTAACGCTTCCATGCACAACAATAACAACAATGGCAACAGCAACAACAACAGCAACAAGAAAGGAATTACTGTAATCATAATGTGATGCGTGTTTTTCATTTCTGGGTTTTTATTTTTTTTTTTCGAGTGTGGGAAAACTTGTTCGAGTGGAAAATGATGACAGCCAGTAAAATGCTTAACACAGGTGATTTTTGTATGTTGGAAAGCGCAATGCAAGGCCGGACGATCAGGTTGTCTGTTGGCCTATGCAAACGGTGCAGCAGATCTGAGCGTGGTTGTTGTTGTTGTTGTTGTTGTTGTTGTCGGCTATGTTCTGGTGACCCGCTTTCGGATCAAACTCGTTTTCATTTCGTTCAGCATTCTGCACCGCCCTTGCATGCATCGGGGTCCGTTGACAGTGAAATTGCATCTAAATTGGGTAGCGGCTGTGGCTGTGGCAGTGGCAGCTCAGACATTGCACGATTCCCAACACTGGCAGACCTGAATTATATCTGGCATTGGAGCGTGCGTGTGTGTGTGTGCGATCGCAATTCGCTGCCGGCTTATGAATTATTGCAAATTTTGTGGCTTTTTATCTGGTTTTCAGAATGTGAAATTGGCAGCCAGCGATGCCTGCACCAGTTTTTCTCTCTCAGCCACAGCCACAGCCACAGCCACAACCACAGCGGCAACAGCAACGGCAGCTGCAGTCAATTCACATTTCTCTAGCGGAACTCTTGAGTCGAGCCACAACGGTAATTCGCTCCAAATCGCATGGGCAGCCTTTCATTTTGGGTGAGAGCCGGGGAGAATAGGGGAGTGGCAAGCGGGAATCGAGAAGCAGCAAGCATCGATTTGCATAAGACTACGAAATTCAATTCGGCACAGCTCAAATAGCTGACTAATGAAAGTGGAAAGTGCTATTTAGCACCCCACGCTGATCCAATATATGAAAGGAATCTTGGTAAATAACAATTCAAAGGCTTAAAGGCTCAAGCACCATACAAAAAAAAAAAAAAAAAAAAAAAAAAAAAGATAGCATCAGCCAAATTGAAGCAAAGTAAAGGCAAGCCCGGTCAAAGGAAATAAAAGTTCAAGGTTACCGGAAAATCAAATATTGGGTCAATGAAAAGGAAAATAAAAAGGAACGAATTAGCAAAGCTAAAAAGGGATCGAAACAGCTGGCAAAGGTGTAAGAATTATGCGTGGATGTGATTTTAGGAATCAGCCCCAAAGATTGAATAATGATTTCCAAAGAATAATGTTAAGATAACTATAAAAATATATATTATAAAAATATATAATATACATTTTATTCAAGTGCTTCACCTGCATTTCCATCCTCAATATAGCTCTTTTGCCACCTGTGCCGCCCATTGCCCAAGCTGAAATGTAAAAGGAAGTAAAACCTTAAAGCCGAGGTCAGCTACACATTAAAGCAAAATTCTTTAAAATTTCCCATAGTAAAGGCCTAAAACAAACATTTCATCAGCTCCGCTCGCACATTCTAATGACGATGCCCACGTGACACAATTAACTCGTCTTTTTCTTATTGTCGTCGTTATTATTGTTGTTGTTGTAGTGTGTATTGCTGTTGATGAGGGTTTCTAGCGAGTGGGCATTCGGTGTCACATAGTTGCCCACTTTTAATAGACCTTTTGTGCTGAATTTGGTTTGTTTTGTCTGCCTTTTGTCTTTTTTATTATTTCTACTTTGTCCGAGTCAATGGTTAACAGTTTGTCTGCTGGAATGAGCTGTTAACTTGGCTTTTGTTGCAGCACACTCTCGCCACTCCACCTGCCCCTTTTTTGTCGAGTCGTTAATGCTGATCATAAGCTAAGCCAAAAAAATGCCTTGGCCATGGCCAACAGCTTGCTAGCTTTTCACAACACGTTTTCCATGCATTTACTGTTTGTCGTTGTTATTGTTGTCGTTGCTGTTGTTGTCGTTTTTGTTGTAGTCGTCTTTCCTAACTGTTTACTTTCACTGTCTGTTGGCATCAGTTTTGGCCGCAACGGTAGCCAGCGGGGCACACTTTCGGCCACCTTTTGCCGTTGTTGCTGCTGCTGCTGCTGCTGGCTTGGCCAACTGCCTTGGCCAGACTCATAATTATTTACACCTTTTAACGGCCGGGTCTTAAATATTCGCTTAGCCAACTGGGTCGCAAATCAATTTCACTTGAAATGAAAGCACTCTCCTCTCGCTTCGCGCATTCATCCGCTGCCCCAAAGATGGACTTGTCAATGGCTCTGATCTCTGTCGGGCATTATGCATAACCATAACATGCCAGCTCCAGTGCCAGTCAAATATTTCGCATTCGGCTTTTATCGCTTTCACCTGTTGGCCATTAAGAATGTATATATTTATATGTATATGTATGTATTTAGATATATCTATGTTTACATATATACAAAGATGTAAACACATTATTGAATTTTTCATTTATTTTATTTATTCCTTGTTTTTATTTCTTTTTTTGTTTTTTTTGTTTTTGTTTTTTTTTACTTATTGTTTTTCTTCATTTTTTTAATGACATGCATTTATGACAGAGAAAAGATGCTGCTTGTAAAAGAGATTTACATTCATTGTGTGTGTGTCTTGCTGTTTGTTGTTGTCTTTGTGAATATTTGTGAATTATGTTTCTTCTGCTTCTGCTTCTGCTACTACTGTGAATTGCCCAATTCATCTCGCTGCGAAAGTGCCGTACGATTCTGCTTAAGAGTATATATGTATGTTTATAGATATATATAGATATATATATATATATATATATGTTTTCTTGAGGGTATTATAAATTAAGCGCTTAGCGACTTGGTGCTTGTGAGCAGCGCGCTTTCAAAATGACTTAAACAAATATTTCTAAAAGCCGATTAGAAATAAGTTGAAGCCAAAATGCATAAAGCGAATGCCACCAGCTGGGCAAACGGTCCAAGTCGCTGATAAACATCTAAAGTATAATATGTATTCAATAACAAATGTGTGATTTACAAAAAAAAAAAGCCTACAGTGAACTATGGTTACAGAGAACGTACGTGCGTGTGTGCGTGGAAGCTAGAGCGCTAGAAAGTGACAGCTAGAGAGCAGCAGAAAAAGTTACGATGAGAGCGTGAGGGAGAGAAGATGTCGAGTGAGAATGGGAGCGATAGAGAGTGAGATGGAGATAAGGTGACAATGAAATAAGAGAGAGCTATATTGTGAAGCTGAAGGTGCAAAAGGAAATGAGAAAGTTCACAGAGCTTGAGTGAAAATTGGAAAAGTCGTTCGAATTTAGACGAGTTCGAAATTTTTAATTTCAGTTCAGTTCAGTTCAGTTCAGCTTTGAGTGCATGAGGCAAGAAAACTATGGCAAGTTATGGCGTTTGCGAATACCAAAACTATGACTCGAAGATAGATGAGAGTTGTGATAGATTCATAGATAGATAGATAGATAGATAGATAGATAGATAGATAGATTGATAGATATAAGAGCTAGTTTGTTGAGTTAAAGCTAGTTGCAGTAGTTGTTGTAGCTGTTATTGTCGCTTGTCGCTTGTTATTGTAAGACTAGAATTGCATGTAAAGTGTACAGGATAGCGTATATGGTAGAGTAGAGTAGAGTAGAATAGTTGTAGATGTAGTGTAGAGTAGAGTAGAGTAGAATAGTTGTAGATGTAGTGTAGAGTAGAGTAGAGTAGAGTACAGTAGAATAGAGTAGAGTATTGTAATTACATAGATAGTTCGTTGCATGGCAACCAACAGAGTTTTGGTATAGTCTTTAGAGTGATAGATGTCGATAGATGATAGATTGTGATATATAGTGATAGATAGCTACAGAGAATGTATGACTCAGAGACTGTGCGGTCAGCATGTTCGTGCGTTAGAGAGAGTAGCCGATAGACAAAGAGAGAGTGTGAGAGAGATAGACGGAGACAGTGAGAGATAGTGAGTGTGTGTTGTAAGTGGGTGCGAGCTTAGACCTAAGGCTGGACGCTGCACAGAGCCGCCGCCTGGGCTTATGAGTATTTGAAACGATTTGCATTAGGTACCGACTTTAACTCTCGCTTTGTGATATTTTTACAAACTTAACTTTAGCTTTAAACGATATGGTATGTAAGTATGTATGTATGTATGTATGTACGTATGTACGTATGCCAAGCAACTAAATGCACGCACACTCAGCATGGGGGTTTCGTCTGCTCTGCTTCTTCATCTCTTTTCGCTACAATGTCGTTTAACAATTCTTTCTCAAGTGATTTGATTTGATTTTCATTTTTTTTTTTTTCTTTTTTACGTTTTAGTTTCCGTTTTTTGTGTGCGTGGCTTTGCGCTTTTTCGTGTGGAAAAATAAATAAAATAAATTATATTAATAAATTAATTAAAACGAACAATAAATAATATGTGTTCCTCTTCAAGAGTCTGTATCTGAGCTGAATGGCTCAAGTCAGTGATTGGTTGTGGTTCGTGTGGTTGTTGTTGTTGTGGTTGTGGTTGATTGACTGTGACTTCACTTAAGCCTGAGGCTTCTGGGCACCATAGGCCAGATCCTGGGCATCAATGGAGCGTCCCCAGCCACCATGGCCGCTGCTGCCGTACGAAGCAGAGGAGGCGCCCGCATCGGCGCTGTAGCCGCTGCCGTATGAGTCGCCGTGGCTGACGGAGTGGCTGCTGCTGTGATGGGGATGGGCGACCACTTCGTAGGTGACGTGCTTCTCCTGCGACAGCAGCTTCTTCAGGCCAATGACGGCCGACAGCACCAGAGCGATCTTACCAATGAGCAGAGCCTTGCCGGCGATCAAAGCGATGGCACCCAGGAGCAGGGGCAGGAGGGCGGCGGCCTTCAGTGCAACCAGAGCCAGAATGGGGCCCAGGATTTTGGCGGCCTTCTTCTTCTTGCCACGGCTCTCCTCGGGCGCATTGGGATCGTTGCTGCCGAACAGCGACTCAGAGGCATCCTCCAAAGCGCGGCCAGTGGAGCTCACGGCCTGAACGATGTCGGCGCCCTTCAGTTCCACCTTGATGGTGTGCGAGTTGAGGAAGCTGCTGATGCGGTTCAGGGCGAGCGATTCGAACGACTCATCGGCTGAGATGGAGCGTGCAGCCTCCTGGACGGGCGCATCCGGTGAGCGGACAACAGTGACGCCCTCGGTGAGAGCGAATTGGTCGCGGGCTCCCAGCACCTTGTCGACGAAGTTGAACAGCTTGTACTTGACGCACGAGACCGAATCCTTGCGCAGGCAATCGCTATAGATGCTATCCATAATGTCGTTGTCGCCGCCGATGGCGTTGCGGGCATGGCCGCGCGTTTCCTCGGCGGGGAGCGCAGCGGACAGCGTCACCAAACACAAGACACCGAAAATAACTTTATTGTTTGCCATTTTTAATTGTTTGTTGTTGTTGTTGCACTTTATTGTGTTGTTGTTGTTGTTGTTCTTGTTGTATAGTCCTTTAAGGGCTGTGAACACTGTTTGGGCTTTTGTACCGCACACAAATCGACAAAACGCACTTTCTCTTTTTTCTTGTATTTCGTTTCAACTCAAGAGTCTTGCACTTTTGGCACACAACGCTGCTGGCTGCTGTGTTGCTGCTTTGACGGGTTAGGATGAAATGATACAATTTCCCAATGCCAAGCACAACTTATATAGGCAGCGTGCTCATCTCTCTCTGCCGCCTCTCTGCCGAGGCCGAGGCGAACGAAAGCATTTCTGCCTCGGCTAAGAACTGGTCGGGCAAGTTTCTCGCTTAAGTCTTTCGTTTTGCCAGCCAACGGTAACGCGCGTCGCCGTCTTGACGCTTGGCTTGGAAAAGCATTGTTACTGTAATTTGTTGGCCTTATGCGCCGCACTGCGCTGCTTTCGCTTGAAGTTCATGTAACATTGTCAAAATCAGCTGAACCTGAAGCTGAGGCGGAGATCAGACGCTAGGCGTCTGCTGATGCCGATGCTGATGCTACACTGTGGGAACAATGTTTGGCGGCTTGGCTGCTTACTTTTACCCGAAAAAGGCGCTGAAAAGCGTAATCTTAATTGTTTTTAAATTGAAATTGAAATTGAAATCGCTTTAATGGCTTAAGGTAAAAGGCATTTCCCTCTCGCATTTCGCAATGCGTGTCTGTCCATCACGGCAGGTGCAGTGCGCCAGGTGCTGCGATAGCCGTGATCAAACACCGATCACCGATCACCGATCACAGATCACCGATCGTCGATCTCCGGTCACCGGTTCACTGGCTCACTGACTCTGCAGTCACGGCTGGAGCGTCACGCTCGTGAGTGTGTGTGCCCATTAGAATTTGTGTTACATAAAAGACGGCTAACGAGCCGCGTATGTGGGCCAGGCCAATAAACAGTCAGCCATAAAGAATAAGCCGAATTGGTATTCGATTCAAAATATCATACAACGGCGATCGCAGCCATTCAAAAGGGAAAGTTGCGACACTTCTCGCTGTGGCATGCAGCTAACCGTTGTGCGCCCTTTTTACCGCTGCCCCACCTACTGTTGTGCACACTGCTTTAGCTTCTGCTTCTGCTTCTGCTTCTGCTTCTGCTGCTGCTTCTGCTTCTACCTCTGATTTTGTTGTTGTTGCTGCTGCTGCATAGATTTATGTGCATATTTTATGCGTTGTCAAATACCGAAATGGCCAAAACAAACAGCTGGCGGTTGCGGCCCGCTGAGTTATTGACTCGCAGCCAGCAATGTGTGCCGAAAGTCCGCTGGACAAACAATCACACACACATGCATACATCACATACCATGTTGACCAGTAGCCAGCGGCTGTTAGCCAGCAGTAGTTGGATGCGACAAGTAAAAGTGCGCAAATAGAGTTGATGTTTGGACCAGGAGCAGACACGCAAGCAGCGAGGCAGCGAGGCAGGCAGCGCGCCTGCATAAATGAAAGTCATCAGGAAAAAGAGAGTTGATAAGCTGCTGCTGAGCGGCAAATCGCATTTGGGGCCCAGGATGCAAGAAAGTGTTGAGTATATGCTTAATTAAAGCATTATGAATGTGTGAAAATGCAGCTAAACAAAAGGCCGGCAAATGGTGTGAAAACGCTTTTCCAGATCAGCCAACGGGGCATCAGCATCAGTGAAAGCGAATTTCATATGTGGCAGGGGCAAGTGGATGCTGGCCGATGGCTGCTGGCAGGAGGCAGGAGGCAGGACGCATTGCGTGCTTGGCAAGTAGGGATGCAAATCGTGGCGAGGCCATCGAACGCAGTTGAATGCTAAATTATTTGACATTTAATTAACTCTTGGTTTCTTTTCCCATTTATTTCGCCTCACTCCGTTATATTGTGCAGAAAACGATGAGAAACGACACTTTCACTGCATTTCGGGGAGGAGCCCGAATTGGAGCCGAAGCTGGAACTGGAGCTGGACCTAAAGGCGGAGCTGCAGCTGCAGCTGGAACTGGAGCTGGAGCTGAAGCGGTGCTCTTCTTGTTCTATTGTGCGAGAGCAACAGGTTTATTTGGTTTCGCTTTGAAAACCAAAAGTAAAATTCATAACAGTTCAACGAGTTTTTAACTGTGCGACCATAAAAGCCAAATGTGAATATATGTACATATAAAGCCGCAGCAACAAGCGAAGTACATATTTTATTTATAATATTGTGGCTGCTGTTGTTGCTGCTGCTGCTGCTGTGGTTGGTGCTGCAGCAAAAAAGAAAGTTTAACGTGAATTTTCCTTTTTCGTAGACAACATTCACCGCCTTGCGACCGAGCCCGACGCGCCGCTCAACGCGTGCAACTTTGCAACTCGAAAATATAAGCTAACAAAGCAGCATGAATGAATGAATAAATGAATGAATGATTGACGGACTGACTGGCTGACTGACTGGCTGGCTGGCTGCCTGGGTGAGTGCTGCCCAGGCACTCGCAGTGGGTGTTCGAGTAAACAACACTGATGTCGCTGCTGCCACAGTTGCGGGCCATGTCCATGTCGCATGCAGCAGCTGCAGATGCCGCCGCACCGGCCCATCGCAGTGAAACCGTTAAGTAAACTGCAATCGCAATTGCCACAACTGCCAACTGCCAACTGCCACTTAATGGCTTAATTTCGTAGTCAGAGCGGGCTGGTCAAGTGGGCGGCGATGCCCTAGACGTGCCTAAACAGTTCAAGCATAGCAGTGCCAATGCGAGAGAGACAGACAGTAAGAGAGAGAGAGAGAGAGAGAGAGAGAGAGAGAGAGAGAGAGAGAGAGAGAGAGATAGAGAGAATGAATGAAATACAAATAAACAATATGAAGTTAGTTGTTTTTAATTAATTTATTTTAATTTTATTTTGCTTAGTCATGAACACAAAATAAAGAATTCTTATACGAAATCCTTAACTAATATTTACTCATTAACATAACTAATATAGTCATTAAAAAAAAACCTAATATTTTAATTTAATTTAATTTTTACATTTAAATACATATTAAATTTTCTTTTTTTTTTTATAAATTTTAAATAATATATAATAATGAGTTTCACCTGCATAATATTTAAATATAATTAATCTCTTTCTAAAAAACATCGTTATCTACATTATATATTATTAGCAATAATTTTGTGGAATTATCTTCTTAAGTAAAAATCTATGCTGTTTGCATTTGAATACATAAAGAGCTAAAGCTGTAAAAAAAAAAAAAAAAAAAAAAAAACAAACATATTTATTGCAACTCCAGTTTGAAATTCGGAATTCGGAAAGTTTCAGCAGTCAATGACAAGATCTAAATTCAGATTTAAATAGAAAAGATGAATATCGAAATTAAACAAATGAGAGCTTCAACTGAATTAATTACGCCAAACATTTGCGTATCTAACAGATGCAAATGTAGCTGTATTTGTTGCTAGGTGAACTCTGCCATTAATCGGGGTCTGCTAGATGACAGTCATTGCCAACTATGACCGATCAGCCGGAATTCGCTTGTGGCGGAGGTGAGGACCAGGCCATGTCACATGAGAAATTTACAGCTACTGCGGCTGTTGTAATCGCCAGCTTGGCTGCCATGGAGATTGGCATTAGCATATATGTAAGTATTTCGACATTTTAGCAACAGTTGGTCCGGCCGCCGACTTTAAGATACAAATTAAAAATGCACGAATACAAATCTCTGGGCACACTTTCACTTTCCATTACGACTGCCCGCCTCACAGATATGCAGCAAGAAGACGAGTCATGGCTACGGCTATGGCTACGGCTACGGATACAGGCACAGATACTGATACAGATGGAGGCAGATAGTTATAGATGCGAGCTACGCATATGGCTCATATTAAATTATTATCTAATACAACGGTCATAATCAACGTTTACAGCTAACTGGATCGAGACAAACGCGTTAAGAGACAGCTCACGGCGACAATTTTGATTGCAGCATTTACTCAATAAATTATTAGTCGCCGAGCTCATGTGGATGCTGCTGTTGTTATTGTTTTATGTAAGTTAGCTACGATTGAATAATTGATGGCCAAGTGTAAACAAATGATGGCGCAATACGAGCAAAGCTCTGCAGAGTCAGTCGCCAGTTATATAATTTGTGAAAAACAACTGCACTTACTTGCCGAATTTACTTCTTCTCTGCCTGCTTAAGCTTGAAGCCGATTCACACGACTTTCTTCCGAAAGAGAAAGGGTTTCGGCGAGGCTTGAGAAACTTGCCAAAAGCAGAAAAAAAAAAACAAAAAGAAAAAATGAAATAAAAATGAATCGACCAAAAAATTGCAGTTTTCTGTCTCGATCTTAGCCCCGGCGCACGTGTGCCCAGCCCTTTCGCTTTTTCAGTACCTCTTTTTACCAATATTTCTTTACTTTTGTTTTTCTTATTTGGAGGATAACGTCGAAACCCGAGGCTTTGACAGCTTCCGCGACTTTCACGAAATTGCTGCAGTAACGCCCTTGATGCAGACGCTGCTGCCGCTGCTGCCGCTGCTGTTGATGCTGATGCTGATGCTGCGCCCCACTTTGCATCATAAATAATGCAGTATGTGCCGCCTAAGGGCCCCCGGACCGGATGCTGAGCGTTTGCGTTTAATGCATTCTTCAAAGTGAAATTTCGTGGAGCGCTCGCTGACTTCATTTTAAGTTTAAGACTCTAAACGACTCGGTAAATTAAATCAAGTGAAATAAAAGGCAGCAGCCTGAGCCAACCAAGTTATGTTCATAATCGTGAAAAGCGGGCAAATTCTAAACGGCATGCCACAGATGAGCTGAGCTGCGGTCGCAGCTCGCATTGCTGAACTTTCTTCTTTTGCTTTCAATGGTATTTCGGTCAGAGACGAGCAGCGGACAAGCGTTGATCTTCTGATCAACTGATCACGATGGGGCGGGGCAAGTGGGTAGGGGCAGTGGCCCTTTAGATCAAGCTGGCCAAGCTGATCAAACTGATCAAACGGTATTTCCGGCTAGCCAATTGGAGCATGCGTTTGGGGCCCAATTAAAAATTATAATTAAGACTTTAGCTGCTTCGCTGACTGTGGGCCAAGTTAATGAACCACACATCAAGTGGGCTCATTGTCTGAGTTGGCCATTTCACATTTTCCAGGAACATCTCGCCACATATTTGCCAAATGAAAGTACACTGTTTACAGCGAATGTTTTCTTATGCAAAAAGTGA